TCAGCTGCAACCTTCCTCCACACCAAGAAACATACCATAACCATTATGCTCTATTTCTTGTCACTCAGCTATTTCTGTGTGGTTACCATCCACAGGCTATGACATTGCTCACAAATTTGGTGTGTGACACTGTCTCAAAAGCCTTTTGGAAGCCCATGTACACCATTACCCTCATCAACATGTTCTGTGACCTCTGTTACCATCCTCACTTAATGGAAGCAACTCTGACTTTTAGCATATTTTATATTGAAGTCAGCAGAAATGACAGTTATCATAGAATCCCTACAGTGTAGAAGCAGGCCATTCGACCCAACATGTCCACACCAACCCTCTGAAGAGTATCCAACCCAGACCCTGTAACACTGCATTCCCCATGGCTAATCTACCTAGCCTGCACACCCCTGGACATTATGGTCAATTTCACATGGCCTATATGCCTAACCTGCACATCTTTGGATTGTGGGAGGAAACTGGAGCACCCAGAGGAAACCCACGCAGATAGTCACCTGAGGCTGGAATCAAACATGGGTCCCTGGCACTGCAAGGCAGCAGTGCTAACCACTGAGCCACCATGCCAGCCTAATTAAGAGATATGAAACACAACTGAATCAACAACACCCAAACATGCACAAACGCGCGCGCACACATACACACAACAGTAAGTCCATAATGACTTAATTGATATCATCGTATCATTTTGAAGTACCAAATGAAGATATAAGTATTTGGACTAGCAGAAGATCAGGCCATTCAGCCCCTGAGTCTGCTGTGCCGTTTGATCAGATCATAGCTTATTTGATTGTGGCTTCCACTACCCCAAAAGCCTTTGACTCACCTATTGATCAAGAATCTGTCTACCTCAAGTGACTCTGGGGAAGAGAGTTCCACAAATTCAAAAACTCCTGAGAGAAAAAAAATCACACATCTCTATCTGAATGTCCCTTAGTTTGAGTCTCACACAAGTGGAAACATCCTTTCAGCATTCACACTGTTAATGTTCCCTCAGGAACTTGTCTATTTCAATGAGATGAGCTCTCATTCTGCTAAAATTCATTGGTTATACCACATCACACAAAAACTGGTAGCTAACTTTAAAAAAAATCTGCAAATAACTCACATTAACAAATAAACCTTAATATATAAACAAATAAACTTTAATACAGCAAGACCTAGCAAAGGCTTGGAATGACAAATGGCAAGTTATATTTGTGCCATACAAGGGCCGAGCAATAACCATCTCCAACAAGAGAGAATCTAATGATCAGTCCTTGACATTTAATAGTAGTGAAGGTCGGTGGGTAGGGATCTATGGCAAGTGAATCACCTCCTGACCCTCCAGAGTCTGTCCACCATCTACAACCACACGGCCAGGAGTGTGATGGAATACTCTCCATTTGCCTGAATGAATGAGGCTCAAACAACACTCAGGAAACTCAATACCATCCAAGTCAAAGCTGCCCACTTGATTGGCACCCTATTCAGCATATAAAGAATTCACACCCTCCACCACCGCACAGTGGTAGCAGCGTGCACCATATACAAGATGCACTCCAGTAACCCACCCAGACTTGTTCAATAGCACCCCTCTAAAGTGGTGATCTGTACCACCTATGAGGACAGTGGCAGCAGGTATATGGGAACAGCGCCAACTCCAAATTCTTCTCCATGGCACCACACCATCCTGACTTGGAACAAGATCATGTACCTTCACTGTCACTGCGTTAACATCCTGGATCTCTCCTCCCAACAACACTGTGGCTATCGATATCCCCATAGATCACAACAATTTAAGACGATGCCTCACCATCACCTTCCCAGGTGTAATTTGGGGTGGGCAATAAATGCTGTCCTAGCCAACAATGTCCACTCCTCTGGAACAATGAAAAACAAAGCAGCAAATCATTGTAACAGAATTTTAACCCTCTGCCAACTGCCTTTGATATAAAATATATTGATATCCCAATTTTTTTTCTGAACAAAACATCTTAGACTTCTAAAAGATTGATATGCAAAGATGGTGAGTAATAATTATTTATATGGGCAGCATGGTGGCTCAGTGGTTAGCATTACTGCTTCACAGTGCCAGGGGCCTGGGTTCAATTCCAGCCTTGGGCAACTGTCTGTGTGGATTTCCTCTGGATGTTCTGGCTTCCTCCCTCAGTCCAAAGATGTGCAGGCTGGGTGGATAGGCCATGGGAAATACAGAGCCAGGGTAGGGGTGTGAGTCTGGGTGGGATGCTCTTCAGAGGGGCAGTAAGGCCTTGTTGGGCTGAATAGCCTGCTTACACATGGCAGGGATTCTGTTCTACATGTTCCTGCTTCTGAGACCCGGACTATTTCAATTGGCTGTTTAACAAACACTGATATTGACATTTTTTGTATTAACCTGTTCCAAGATGTTAAAGCACATCTTTGGAGCAGATGGGATTTTAACCTAGCTGCTCTAATCTGGTAGTGTAGGGTCACTAATGTCAAACTACAAGAACCTACCATTATTGCTATAGACTTCACATACAGCTTACACATTGTCATTGATTTTGAAATAGCCACTTTGAAAATTCACTTAACTTCCCATGTAAGAAAAGCTGCTAGCCAAATGAAAAACTTGAAGAAAAATAGGTGCTGTCAAGTAATGCTCAATGGGCTCTTTCAATTATTTCCTGAGTGGCACATTTAGCGATAAGAGATTGGAACCAAAGCAGATCTTGACGCTGAATATGTTGCAAAGATGCCTGAGTCAGTGAGCATTGTGTTCTGTGACAGGTGAACCTTGGCTTTTGGATGGCGAGGCTAGACATTAAAGTCCTTGCTCACTGGGTGGCACGGTGGCTCAGTGGTTAGCACAGCGCCAGGGACCTGGATTCAATCCCAGCCTCAGGCAACTGTCTGTGGAGTTTGTACTCCCCGTGTCTGCATGGGCTTCCTCCCACAGTCCAAAGATGTGCAGGTGAAGTGGATTGCCCATAGTGTCTGGGTGGGATGTTCTTCAGAGGATCAATGTGGACTTGATGGGCCAAATGGCCCGCTTCCACGCTGTTATGATTCTGCGATACCTCCTCATTATCCTGTGCACGCACATTACTGTCTAGACAGCTGCAGGAGGTCTATTACAAAGCAGTTCAGTTTTCAGTTGGTTTGACTTGAGCTCGCGGCTGATGGTCTGAAATCTCTGACATTTTTTCATTTCCAAGTAAGCTCTCTGAATTTGGGAGGGACGTGTGACAAGAGGGCAGAGCATTTTTGTTTTCCATATTGAGCAAGCTATGTGACTTTCTCACAGTCTGGAGCACAGTGTTGGTGCTCTGCATGAGTTTGACCAAAAGTTTCTAAGATATTAGATATTTAGAACCATACTTCTGTGTTTGCTTCAGCCTTCCATATTAATTAACCCTTTGCTTGAGTCCTCCTTATTAATTAACCATAACATTTCTGGGATTTGAAGCAACTCAATTACAGCACGGTGGGAGGAAAGGGAGAAGTATTGAGTCAGAAGTCATTTCTATGAGTTCTTTGTTAATTCGCATAATGATAGGGATTCTAGTATAACTGAGAATGGCTCTTCTTCTGTCTTTCCTCTTCATTTAGATGTATTTGTTGGGACTCAAATGCAATTATATAGATACTGATCGCCATTAGGGTACCTGCAACACATCAATCAAGAAGTATTATTTAAATGGATAGATTGTATACGTAGCCTGTTACCAACCCTCAAGGCTCGAGTCATAGAGTTGTACAGTACAGAAACAGACGCTTCGGAGAAACTCGTCCATGCCGACCAGATATCCTAAATTAATCTCGTATCATTTGCCAGCATTTGGTCCATATTCCTCTAAACCCTTCCTATTCATATATCCATCCAGATGCCTTTCAAATGTTGTAATTGTACCAGCCTCCACCACTTCCTCTGGCAGAGCATTCCATACACGCACCACCCTCTGCATGAAAAAGTTGCTCCTTAGGTCCCTTTGAAATCTTATCCCGGTCACCTTAAACCTATGCCCCCTAGTTTTGGATTGCCATATCCTGTGAAAAGCTATTCACCCTATCCATGCCCTTCATGATTTTATAAATCTCTATAAGGTCACTCCTCAGCCTCCGACGCTGCAGGGAAAATAACCCCAGCCTTTTCAGCCTCTCCCTGTAGCTCAAACCTTCCAACCCTGGCAACGTCCTTGTAAATCTTTCTGTACCCTTTCGACTTTAACAACATCTTTCCTCCAATTGCATAATATGAGACGTAACCAAATTCTCTCTCCCCTCAAGGAAGACTATGGAGATCTCAGGGTTGTGTTTAAGGGACAAAAACAGTCAAAAAAAAATTTACTTCCCCTGACCACAGAATTCTTGGTTTGATTCAAAAGGTGAATATAAAGTGGACTTCTGGGGCAAATCGTCATTTTAACTGCTCTAAATTTACATCAATGTTAGTAGGTGAAGGTATTGGGCTCGTAATTCAATCCACCAGGCTAATATTTTGGGCACAAAAACAGAAGTTGCTGCAAAAGCTCAGCAGATCTGGCAGCATCTGTGGAGAGAAACCAGAGTTAACATTTCGGGTTGGGGGACCCTTCATCAGAATGAATACTTTGGGCACATGGGTTCAAATCCCACCATGACAGATGGTGAAATTTGAATGCAATAAAAAAAGTCTGCAATAAATTGCTGGCCTAACAGCATTGTTGATTGTTGTAAAAACCCATCTGGTTCACTATATTGTCGTTTAGGGAGGGAAATCAGTGTCCTTACCTGGTCTGGCCTATATGTGACTTCAGACCCACGGCAATCTGGTTGACTTTTAACTGCCCTCTAGGCAATTAAGGATGGACAATAAATGCCCCCATCCTGTGAATGAAGACATTCTCCTGCAATTCCTCAGAATTAGGTATTTCTAAGGCAGTTGGAAGAGTCAGCCCCATTACATGTTTAAGGTGATGAAAGCTAATGCAGAGATCTCATTCCAGTCAATGTAATTGAAGTAATTCTAATTTTCTTCGTTTCAGGTGAAAAGTGCCGGAATTTTATTGATCTGGCTCCTGCCTCTGAGAGAAGTGAGTAACAAAACAGAACTGAGCATTCCATACTCAGTGGTCTAATCTTTTACAGCGAAACTGTAAATTAAATTGATTGACAGAAAACATTTTGTACATCTTGAAATTATTTACATGCTCAACGCTTTGAGGGGAGGTGGTGACCTAATGGTATTAACACTGGACTGTTAATCCAGAGACCCAGGTAATGTTCTGGGGACCCAGGTTGGAGTTCCGCTGTGGCAGATGGTAGAATTTGAATTCAATAAAAATCTGGAATTAAGAGTCTAATGCTGACCATGAAGCCATTGTTGATTGTCAGGAAAAACGTATCTGGTTCATTAATGTCCTTTAGGGAGGGAAACTGCCTACTTACCTGGTCTGGCCTATATGTGGCTCCAGACCCACAGCAATGTGGTAGACTCTTAACTGCCCTCTGGGATGGCAATAAATGCTGGCCCAGCCAGCAATGCCTCATCCTGTGTGCGAACAAAAAAAATATATTTTCTCGAACCATGTATTCAACTAACAACATGCAAAAAGTCAAGCCTAACATGTTCTGACCTGAACTACGAGTGTCAAATGTTTCGCATTAAGACCCTGAAATTATTCTGAGAGGTGCTGGCCTGGGTTTTGCTCTGGCAATGATGGTAAAGTTGTCAATGTTCACCATCATTACTCCAATCAAATGAACAACAACTGCAGAAGATTGGACATCATGGAATGAGATTGAAATCCTTGTCAGCCATGGCTACAAAGTCAAAAAACTCGGAGTTCAAGAGCTTGAGGATAATAAATAAATAAATAAATAAATAAACTAAGAAAAAATCCCATGCATTACTGAGGGAGTGCCGCTTTATTGGAGGTGCCATCTTTCTGATGACACATAAAGCTGAGGCCCTGCCTGCCTGCATGGATAGGTGTAAAAAACTCCCATGATGCTATTTGGAAGAGGTGCACAGAGTTCTCATTGATGCCCTGACCAATATTCATCCCTCAGTCAACATCTCAACAACTGATTATTATTGTCATTTTCAAGTTGTTGTGAGTGGGATTTTTCTCTTTGTACGGCAAACTTTGTTTTAACATAAGGGATAGCAATGGCCAGTGATATTATCGCTAATCCAGAGACCCAGGTAATGGTTTGAATCCCGCCATGGCACAGTTTGAATTCAATTACGAAGAAATTTAGAATTAAGAGTCTGTTGACAAACCATGAATCCATTGTCAATTGCTGGGGAAAGCTCATCTGGTTTGCTAATGCCCTTTAGGGAAGGAAGCTGCCATCCTTACCTGGTCTGGCCTACATGTAACTCCTGACCCACAGCAATGTGGTTGACTCTTAACTGCCTTCTGGACAATTAGGGATGGGCAATAAATACTGCATAGCCAGCAGCATCCACATCCAATGAATGAATAAAGAGAGAAAAAAGGCATCTTATGAACTGGCACTCTTGATAAAGTGGCAAAAATTACCTGCCTCAAATACTTGAAGTTTACTGTATTATTGTGAAGTCTGAGTAGTCAGTTGAGGGTGTGAGTGAGAAGGCTTTCTGCCGCTAAGTTTTATTTAAGACAAAGTTACATTGTTATTTAAGTGATTTATGTATTAAATAAAGTATAACAGTGCTGTGTATACCCCCTGCATTACATTTCTATTACTTAGTGTGTGTTTTTACATTGATTACATGGACCTCTTGATCAACTGGAATTCTAGATCAACTAGTCCCGTAGGTGCCACTTAATAAAAAGTTTGCTGTATATTAGATCATAGAATCCCTACAATGTGGAAACAAGCCCTTAAGCCCAACCAGTCCAAACTGACCCTCAAAGCATCCCAACCAGACCCATCCCCCTAATCTATACATCTCTGAACACTACGGGCAATTTCACACGGCCAATCCACCTAACCTGCACATCTTTGGACTGTGGGAGGACACCAGAGCACCCAGAGGAAACCCACACAGACATGGGGAGAACATGCAAACTCCACACAGACAGTTGCCCGAGGGAGGAATCGAACCTGGGTCCCTGGCGCTGTGAGGCAGCAGTGCTAACCACTGAGCCACCATGCCGCCCTGTTGTTGTTGTACATCCTACATTTTCAAAATTGACTATAAAAAGAAGTTATTCATTGTGATTTGAGACATTGGTATAACAATAAGAACTGTCTGTAACAGCTTCTGTAGGTACGTGAAGGGAAAAAAATTGGTGAAGATAAATATAGGTCCCTTATAGTCAGAAACAGGGGAATTTATAATGGGGTGCAGTGAAATGGTTGACTGACTGAATACATATCTTGGTTCTGTGTTGACAAACGAGGATGGAAATAACATACCAGAAATGTCGGTGAACACAGGGTTTAGTGACAAGGAGGAGCTGAAAGAAATCAGTATTATTAGAGAAATGGTGTTGGGGAAATTAATAGGGTTGAAGGTCAATAAATCCCCAGGCACTGATAATCTACATCCCAGAGTATTTAAAGAAGTGTCCCTAGAAATAATTGATGCATGTGGTCATCTTCCAAGATTCCATAGACTCTGGGACAGTTCATGTAGATTGCAGCATAGCTAATGGAATTCCTGTATATAAGAAGGGAGGAAGAGAAAAAGCCATGAATCATACGCCTGACATCAGTAGTGGGGAAACTGATAGAGTACATAATAAAAGAATTAGCAATTGAGCCACAGAAACACAGTGGCTACAAGAGCAGGTCAGAGTCTGGGAATACTGTGGTGAGTATCTCACCTCCTGACTCCTCAAAGTCTGTCCACCATCTACAAGGCACAAGTCAGGATTGTGATGGATACTTCTCCATTTGCCTGGATGAGTGCAGCCCCAACAACACTCAAGAAGCTTGACACCATCCAGGACAAAGCAGCCGCTTGATTAGCACTACATCCACAAGCGTCCACTCCCTCCACCACCGATGCTCAGTTGCGACAGTGTGTACTATCTACAAGATGTACTGCAGAAATTCACCAGAGATCCTCAGACAGCCCCTTCCAACCCCACGACCATTTCCATCTAGAAGGACAAGGACAGAAGATACATGGGAACACCACCGCCTTCAAGTTCCCCTCCTAGTCACCTACCATCCTGACTTGGAAACATATCACCGTTCCTTCACTGTCGCTGGGTCCAAATCCTGCAATTCCTTCCCTAACGGCATTGTGGGTCAACCTACAGCAGGTGGACTGCAGCGGTTCAAGAAGGCAGCTCACTACCGCCTTCTCAAGGGGCAACTAGGGATGGGCAATAAATGCTGGCCCCAGCCAGCAACACCCACATCCCACAAAATGAATTTTTTAAAAATTTGGAAAACAGTGTTAGGATTGGATAGTGTCAGCATGCATTTGTGAAAGGGAAATTATACTTGACAAATCTACTGGAATCTTCCAAGATGTAACTAGTCGAGTTGAAGAGGACATGGTTTAGTGGATTTTTGACAAAGTCTGAAATAAGAGATTGGTATGTAAAATTAAAGTGCATAGAACTGGGCATAGTGTATTGATATAGATAGAAAACTGGTTGGAAAACTAGGAAACAAGAGTAGGAATAAATGGATCTTTTTTTCCGAATTGCAGCCAGTGACTAGTGGGACCCGTACTGGGACCCCAGCTATTGGCAATATATGTTAACCATTTAGATGAGGAATCTAAATGTAATATCTCTAAATCTGTGGGTGACACAAAGTCAGGTGGGCGCATCAGCTGTGAAGATGATGCAGAGATACTACAGTGTGATGTGAACAGGCTGAATGAATGGGCCAATGCATGGAGGATGTGGTACAATATGGATAAATGTGATTTAAATGTAGCAAAACCAGGAAGGCAGAGTATTATGTGAATGGCTGGAACTTGACCTTCATTGAGACCTCGGGTGTCCTTGCGTACTGTTGTTGAAGGTAAGTGCGCAGGTGCAGTAAAGACGACCAATGGCATGTTAGTCTTCATAACGCAAGGATTTGAGTGCAGGAGTGGGGATGTCTTGATGCAGTCATACAGGGCTTGGTGACACCACACCACGTGGGCACGTTCGTCTCCTCATCTGAGGAAGGATGTTCTTATTGTACAGCGAGTGCAACGAAGATTTACCAGACTGATTCAGACTGATACCTGGGATGGCAGAACTGACTAATGAGGAGATGTTGAATCAGTTAGGATCACAAAACTCAAGTTCAGAAGAATGAGGGGGAATCTCATAGAAACCTATAAAACTCCAACAGGACCAGACAAAGTAGAAAGAGGAAGGATATTCCCAATGGTGGGATTAGTCCAGAACCAGGAGTCACAGTCTAAGGATGTGGGGTAAACCATTTAGGACTGAGATAAGGAGAACTTTTTTCGCCTAGAGGTGGTGAGCCTGTAGAATTCACAACCACAGAAAATAGTTGATGTCAAGACATTGTACAATTCCAAGAAGGAGTTGGATATAGTACTTGGGGCTAACAGGATCAAAGGATATGGGGAAAAGCAGGAACAAAGCTGTTGAGATCAACCATGATCCTGAAGAATGGCTGAGCAGGCTCAAAGAACTGAATGGCCTACTCCCACTCTTATTTTCTGCGTTTTCCATGTTTTTGTAATGGAAAGTGACATATATGTTATACAGTGTCCCAGAGATTCCAATTTCCATTGCAATCATGAATTGATAAGAACTTGTACTCTACATAACTAGGCTCACCCTGAATACCCTGGAAAAGCCACAACTTTGGAATAAAGTCTATAAAAGTATATTGACTCTCTAGTGACAGCAAACCATTCTAGTTGACCTTGCAAAGCTAATTTTCTATGCATAGAATGTTGCATTTCTTGAGACTGATGAAAGAATTATATACATTAACTGAAAAAGATTTCATTATTGTATGAGAGATGGTAAGAACTGCAGACGCTGGAGAATCTGAGATAACAAGGTGTAGAGCTGGATGAACACAGCAGGCCAAGCAGCATTAGAGGAGCAGGAAAGCTGACGTTTCGGGTCGGGACCCTCCTTCAGAAATGGGGGAGGGGGAAGGGAGT